TGAGACGGCGGCTAAGGCAAAGAGCCTACTGGGCAAGTGGCCTGGAGCACTGGTGTCTGTGGTGGGACCGGTGAATTCTGCAGTTCAGGGAACACCACCACCATGACTCCCCTCTTCTCTTTGTTTTTCCTTCTCCCCTACCCTCCCCCCACTCTGCCCCGTTTCTCTCCTATTCCCTTTCTTTAGTTCTCTCTTTCCTCCCTTTCTTTAGTTCCTACTCTCTATGCTCTGGGACCCTCAGAAGCACTCCGAGAATTTCCTGATCTTTCTAAAGGCACTTAGGTCTCAAGCGGCAAAAGTACTCAGTAGAGAGTTCTTGGTTCTGTATGATCTTGGACAAGAGACTTTACATCTCTGACCTCTAGAGTCTTACTTGGACAATGGGATTAACATATGGAACTCTGGGGTTATTAGGAAAATTCGGTGAAAGGTGTGTAAAAATGCTGTGGAACCTGTAAAGCCTGATACAGATAAAATCTCCTGTTACTATTTCCCTAGACCCATTCCATACACCCTCATACTCTGAACTCAGTCTCAGCCATCAGGGAAGCTAATCCCTTCAAGATCCTCACTCTAGACTTCCCAGTACACGCTCTGCACAGATCACCCAACACCTGAAAGCAAGATGACCTTCATGGTGTTGATTTTTCTTCTGGACTGTGGTGCTTATTTATTCTTCCTGTAAACCACAGAGTAGTAAATGCACTAGTAAGGTCTGGAAGGAATGGAGATGCTATTTCTGATACTCCTTCCCTCCACAGCCTCCATATAAAGCTCTATCACAGCATTTACTTCCTTATATTGTAAGTCTGTCTTATCTGTATCTATATCTATTCCCTCACTAAGCTGTGTACTCTGAGAGCCCTACCTTGATTTCTACACCCCTGAATAGCCAGGCCTAAGACCTAAGGCAGTGCCTGGCACATTGCAAAGATCCACAAATGCTTGTTGAATGGAACTGATTCAGGATCCCCAGCAGTCACCATGCCCGTGATTGAGCCTACTGACTACCCAGCAAATGGAGCCATAAAACATTATGCCCGGTAATGATGTTAATCATAAAATCTGCCTCATTCTAAAAATTTATTAAATCTTAATCTGTGCTTTGTTTCCATTTAATTGTCAATTCTGTGAGGTGGAAATGATTTACAGAGGCTCAGGGATATCTGTTTAAGGTCATCATACAGTTTTGTTTTTAAAGATTTCATTTATTTATTTCACAGAAAGACACAGAGCGAGAGAGGGAACACAAGCAGGGGGAGTGGGAGAAGGAGAAGCAAGCTTCTCGCGGAGCAGGGAGTCTGATGTGGGGCTCGTTCCCAGGACCCTGGGACCATGACCTGAGCTGAAGGCTCAGACGCTTAACGACTGAGCTACCCAGGTGCACCAAGGTCATACAGTTTGTAAGTAGCAGATGGAAGACATGAACCCAGATGTGTAAGCATTGAAGGCTTGTGCTATGAGGGCAATGTTCACTCCAAAGCCTCCATCTTAGCAGAACATTCTGTCAGGTCCGTGTGAGCTCCTAGAGGGAAGTAAAACTGTGTAACTTATCTTTGATTCTCTAGCACCTAATTCAAGACCTGGGCACAGTAGATGCTCAAGAAATATTTGTTGAAAAATGTACAAATGAATAACTGATTTGTGGAACTTTAACATTAACATTTGTTCCACCCAGAATTTGCCAAGGTTTGGAAACTTCTCTAGGAGACCAGAGACTTGACTTAACTTCCCTTCATGGCTTCTAATGTTTTACCCCCAAATATTTGTCTGTAGCTGGAGTCAGGTGAATACAAATATCAAGGGCAACTTTCAATCTGTACCTCTGAAACAAATAATACAATATGTGTTAAAAGAAGAAGAAGAAGAAGATAGCAGGAGGGGAAGAATGAAGGGGGGCAGATCGGAGTGGGAGACGAGCCATGAGAGACGATAGACTCTGAAAAACAAACTGAGGGTTCTAGAGGGGCGGTGGTGGGAGGATGGGTTAGCCTGGTGATGGGTATTAAAGAGGGCACGTTCTGCATGGAGCACTGGGTGTTATAC